AGAAAACAGCAATGGCAAAATTGTTTAGATGCAACACATGGACAAATTTTAAGTTTTCTTATGGTTTTATTATATCATGCTGCTTTTGGATGTACTGCTCTGCAATTGGGTTATGCATATTAGTTATACTGTTCAAATGTTTCAAATCCTTTTTGATTTTTCATATGATACTGTGATTGTGGATTTACCTCTTTCTTCTTTTGGTTCTATCAATATTTATTTCGTTTTTTATTTGAGTGGCTAGGTTACTAGGTATATACAAAATTAAAGTTCTTTAACTAGTATAAGATGTTTTTCTTTGTCTCTAATGAACTTCTTTCGCTAAAATTAAAAAATTTAGTTTTGCTTGGTTGGTCTAGTATATAATGTTCTATGCTTTTTACTTCTAAATTTAAGGACTCATTGATTTTTTTATTATTATAAAGATGGGGAGTACAATTCAGGTTCAGGGTTAGGTAGCCAAACGTTGATTATGCAGGTACACTTGTTGATGAGGTGTGCCCCTCCCTCCTCTAGCAATTTCCCTCAAATGCCAATCTCACCCCTTCCCCTAATAGTTTCCCACTACTGCCAATTCCTTTCTTATAGCGTTATAATTGTTCAAGTTTCGCTTATGTGTGAGAACATATGGTACTCTGTTCTTTGTTTCTGTGATAGATCACTGAGTATAATCGACTCTAAATCCATCCAAGATGCTGTGAAGTCCATATGTTTGTTTTTCTTTATGGCTGCATAATATTCCATTGTGTATATGTACCACATTTTAAAAAATCCAGTCCAACTTCAGTGGGCAGCATGGTTGGTTCCATGCTTTTGCTATTGTGAATAGAGTTGCGACAAACATATGTGTTCAGGTCTCTTTTTCGTAGAATGATTTGAGTTCCTCTGGGTATATTCCCAATAAGGGAATTGCTGGGTTGTATGGAAGGTCAATTTCTAGTTCTTCCAGAAATCGCCACCTGTCTCCCAAAGAGGTTGTATCCTTTGGCATTTCCAACAGTAGTTTAGAAGGATGCAAAGAGAAAGGACTCATTGATTTTAAATGTTTATCTAAAAATAACCTAGATTTGGCCAAGCTCGGTGGCTCAGCCTGTAATCCCAGAGCTTTGGGAGGCCGAGGTGAGTGAATTGCCTGAGCCTGCGGGTTCGAGACCCGCCTGGGTAACTTGGCAAGACCTCATCTCTATAATAAACCAAAAATTTAGCTGGGCGTGGTAGCATGTGCCTGTAGTTCCAGCTACTTGGAGGCTGAGGCAGAAGGATTGCCAGAGCCCAGCAGGTCGAGGCTGCAGCGGCCGGGAGCATGCCACTGCACTCCAGTCTGGGTGACAGAGTGAGACTCCAACTCAAAAAAAAATAGCCTAGATTTTTTTCTAATGTGATAATTATTATTTTTAGAGATTTATTCTGTATATAATTAACATAATTACTATTATCTTGGGTTGAAATTATCTTATAATTTTACTTTATATTTATGCCATAAATTTTATTTTGTTTTCTTTTCTGTGCTCCATATTATATAGTTTTACTATCTTTCTGAAATTGCCGTGTCAAATTCGGCATGTTGACTTATCAAATAATGCTAAGTGGTACTTACTTTCTTTTTTGGCAATATAAAAGCTTTCAAGCATCCCGGTTACATTCTCCCTGAAGTTTAGCAACTATGTGTATGTGGTTGTGTGTGTGTGTTAGCTCTCCAATGCCTTCAAAAACATTATTTCATTTTGTAGTCAGCCAAATTTTTCTAGTTGTTATTAGTGAGATACACAGAATTACATAGCCCACCATTATAGAAATGAAAAAAATTCTATTTCTATTTTTTAATTCTGGGGATTTTACTTATATTTTCAAGCTCAACTTAACTCTTGTTAGGAGGTTTAATCTAATACTAGTACTTCTTTATGGTGAAAGGAGGACATTGGCATTATATGTAAATTATTAAAATCTGTTATAGTTTTGCAGAATGTCTGCAACTCTCTTTATTCTTTTTAGACATGTATGATCTTTATTATATTCTCACTTACTTGCCAATATTTTTAAATTTAATTGATACTAAAGGAAATCTAATATTAAATTTTTCCACTTTTTAATGGGATGTGAGTTTAAACATATTTCATATCCTCAGTAATTTCATTTTCTTTTTCTCTTTCTTCTGTACATTTTAATTTTAAAATAATTTACATATATGTTTTGTCTTCAAGCTCTGTTAAAGCTCTCTTGATTAGTAAAACATTTCACTTGAAACTATAATTTTCTTAACTATGATGTTTCTTTTGACAGACGTTATTTCTTTTTTCCTCTAAGTGAACAATTTTTATTTAATTTGGAAGGACCAGGACTAGCATTATCTCTTGTAGGATGCATTCTTTGACAGTCAGGCAGAATATTTTTGATGAAAAGATTAGTAGAACATAAACTACTGGAGAGTTTGTGACAGAATGTACTATGTGATACTGAAATTGCCACTGCATGGGGGGGGTAGGGGGAAAAAAACTGCTCTATTTCACAAATTTTTCAAGATAAATTCCTACAGTTTCTATTAAGACTTTTAATTTACATAGTCCCAGGCACAAATTCCCAGTTTTGCACAAAGGCAGATGCTATGCTGTGATTATTATTCCCAGTGATAAGACAGTGAACTACCTCTCTCAAAATGGCTACACACCTTTGCTATAGCTAAGAAATTCCTCGGTTCAGGCTCCAGTTATTTTGATACCATCCCTGGTAGTAACTGTATAACAAAGGTAATTCATTGAAGCCCACTTAAAAGAATTGCTGGTAAAAGAATAAAACATGTATTGAAATCAATTCTCTTTCCCAAACCTCTCAATTATAACTGTAGCTGTTAAAAAAAATTGCTGCTGCTGAATGACTAAAACAGATTTTAAACAGGAAACTCTGAAAAGCCCTCAATTCCAGTCACATTCTGATTACTGGAAAGACTCCTCACCACCCTCAGTTCTTGGCACTTGAATTCCATATTAAGTTTGAATGTGGACTGAGCACAGAAAAAGATAGGAAACACTTGAAGTCACAAAGGTTCCTGCTGTCTAATGGATAACTGTTCTCTTCCTAAAAAAGAATCAGAACTGCCATGGTGACAAAAACAGTATCTTATAAATATATTTGTGTAAATAGAAAGACAATTAGTAGGTGCCCAATAAATAATTCATGATGAAGATTTATTGGAATAGAACTACTATTGTGATATATTTACTGGGAAGCTTTCCTGAATGCAGAGCTATACACAGCATTCATGATAGCCCCTATTTCAAAAGAACCACAATTTAATGGACTGATAAAACATATACTTAAAATTTTAATGTCCAATATACAAATGTGCATCCTAAGTATTGAAAATCTGCAAAAATTCATATGTGGAAAAGACTATAATCTATAAACATAGTTAAGAAAGTCTTTATGGAGAAAGTCAGGAGTATAAGGGTGCTCACTTTACTCACCTCATTTTTACCAGTCTAGTATCTTCTAGTATTCCTGTGAAATATCAGTTAATTGGAGAAAATGTGTGAGTCTTTTTTTCTAGGTAACACATCTGATGACTGAAATTGTCCATCAGACTTGCAAGTGCTCTGTCAAGCTTAGCATGTCCTTTTCAAGGTCAAGCAAGTTATCTTTCTGAAAGGTGCAAGCTTTTGACTTAGATATTCTTGAATTTCAGACAGACACCCGATATTAGTTTGCATCCTTGAATTATTTGATACAATTCGTGCTGCTACTTCATTTGGTAACTTCAAATGACAATAAAAAAACTATAAATTTGACATTAATATTGAATTAAATAATTAATTTAAGTCACATGCTAACTCATAGTAATTACTCACTAATGCTATCCATCTTAATTTGTTTTTCATATATTGTAGCACAATGCCTACAATAGTATTCAACTGGTAGACGAGGCTCAATAAAATGTGTTAAGTAAGTTAATATATGTATGACAAAGGCTAGGAAGCAAATAAGGTCATCCTGATGACAACACGATATGAGCTAGAACATTAACATCACTGTATAAATTTCTAGGAACCAAACACAACATATTATTTACTATAACCTCTATTTTTCTCAACATGCCAGGGAACATTTAGATAATTAGTATATAAACTTAAAATACTGGATAAACATTAACTATTTTTAAAATTTTAGTTAATACTTAATCAATGTGCAATTAATGATACAATTTGCTCTATTATCTGTTATGTGTCTTGTACTCCGGAGAAGTCCTTTAAATATATCATCACTGCAATTTTTTGAATAAGCTGTAGTAAATAAATAAAAATTGTGTTAAAATGTATATTCTGGAAGATATTATAATGGTAAGTCTAAATAGATTTTTATTTATGCTTATGTTTATTTTTTAATTTTTTAATTTTTTTAGAACAACTCAGCAAAATAAAATTCCAGTTTATTGTTGGACAACATTATTTCACACATACATCAAACAGGCCAAAAAAAATAAAGAGCAACTTCATAGACAAAAAAGGAAAAAAAATAAACCTTTTATTTCTGGCTTTTTTAACCATCTCATACAAACCAGCTACTTATAGTACAGCTAAGTACATACACAAAAAAAGTTACTGGAATGCTCGGAATAAGATTTTTTGTTGTTGTTGTTTTTGCTTTTTTGCAAGGTTTTTTTCCTCTTTTGAGATTATAATGAACATGGTCACAACACAAGTAAAGTCAGAAGTAGAACAGAGAACACGCTCCGGAGGCTGGTTTGGTCTTCTGAGATCACTAAAAACGGCTGACTCCTAACAATATGTACAAAAATATAAAATGCAAACAAAAAATACAAGCAAATTTCCTTTTTAAAGTACTTTTAAGAAAAAAAGCAGGGCCTTGGAAGTTTGGGTTCTTTTTTCCTCCCCTGTTGAAAATTCTCATGGTTTGGGTGGGGTGGTGGAGAGACTGCGTGTCATCTGCGGGTGGCGCGGCCGGCGGTGGGCCGGCGGGAGGGCGTCTCTATTCGTAGGTGACCACGTTTAGATTCTGAGATGGGAAGTGGAGGGTGAATAGGTCACGGCAGCCTTTTTTTTTTTTTTTTTTTTTAGTTTAATTTTTCCTTTTTTTGCTGTCCAGTCATCCTCATCAGTCTTCTGCTTCTTAGTATCAACATCGTCATCCTCATCATCTTCAGCAGCCCGTTTGCCAGTAGCGGCTTCAGCTTCCTCATTTTCATCTCCATCCTCCTCCTCCCCGTCACTTTCTTCCTCCGCCTCCTCCTCTCCACCTTCTTCCTCTTCTTCATCTACCTCATTGTCAGCCTCCTTCTCCCCATTGTCCTCATTAGCAGGGGCATCTCTTCCATGTTCCACCTCCTCCACAACTTCCTTCTTCTCCTTTAAGTTCTTGGTGGTGATCTGGGAGCTGGTGCTCACGGCTGCGTCTGACATGGTGGGGCACACCGGTGTTCCGATGCAAGGGACTAAGTAGAACACGAGAGTTCGAGGAATCTGGCGTCAAAGCTGCTGGAGCCCCCGGTGGGGGAGGCACGCGGCGGAGGCGGTTGCAGCGAGCAGAGAGCCAGACGGGGAACAATGCAAAGATGGCTTTTCAGAGCAGCCAGTCCTAAATAGATTTTTAGTCTAGAAAACACAAATGCTGGTACATGCCAAATAGTCTACAGACTGGTGATTTCAGAGTGAGACCTTTAGACAGAGTAATTAAAATATGAATTCCAACCAGGTTAGAATTCCATAGGGTCAAATTCAGGGATGACTAAAATGTTCTTTACCAGATATCCAGAGGGGCATTTACAGGCCATGGAAGCTCCAAGGATCAAACAATGTGTGAAGGTGCAAGCATTTATCTAAGGTCTGGCAGGAGATATGGATAATACAAGTGTGGGAAGCTTATATTTGACAGTGGGACAATAGAGCTACCAGACAAAAAAAAAAAAAACTCATAAAGTCAGTATGAGGAATTTAGTTTATTTTGATTTCCAATAAGTTCACAGTAAGCAAAAAATAATTTTCAAAGTCAGTTTCTGAATAAATAAAATAGAGGGCATAGATCAAGGTGTTGAATAACTAGGTGAAAAGCTCAAAGCGACATGAGCAAGTGGACCAACTAAATGAAAAGGAAGAGAGATGTGTACTCTCTTTCCTCTCTGTCAAGCTAGAAAGATGGAGCAAGTTTTGGGAAAGAGTTTAAGGCCCCAGAAGTAAGAACCAAAAGGATGTTTATATAGTAAAAACTTATAGTTGTAATTTCAGCACCTTAATTTTTGTTAATTCTCACTGTATCATCATGTTACCAAATTATATAACTAAACTTTATGTAACCAAAATGTGGAATTCTGTCAACAAAATTTATTTTACCAAAATTGATAAGTGAAGAATACATTGATTCTAATATTTAATTTTCTGGGTAAGCAAACTAAAACAAGGAAACAAGCAAAGCAAACCTCCATGTTGAGCTTCTGACAGAAATCTCAAGATATTACCTCAATACCTCTACCAGTCAGTTAGCTCTGTGAGCAAGTTTTATTAGTTTTCTGGCCTTAGGTTTTCTCATCTGTAATAGCTAATCCTTACACAATGTAACCCTTACACAATGTAGAATTTAGTAAGCACTCTAGAAGCAATTGCCACCAAGTACCCTAACAGCCCTGGCAACTACCACTGATGTAAACTTCTGATGTTGACCTCAGTTGGCAGACCTGCATATGATGATACTACATTCTTTCTGGACCAGTCACACTGCACTCCACCTAACTGGTGAGCTTGCAGCTGGACTTTCTCCAGTAAAGTCAGTCCAAAAGGCTGAAAGAGGTGACTTTTTCATCAAATATGCAGATACCAAGAAAAGGTCACTATAAACACAAACAAAAAAGCAACATCACATCAGCAAGAATATCCAGCGTGTGCGCGTGTGCGCACGCGCGCGCGCGTGCACACACACACACACACACACACAAAACAGTAAGCTTGGTGCAGCGGAACGAACCTACTTGGGGAGCTAAAGCAAAAGGGTGCTTTGAACCCTGGAGTTCAAGTCCAGCCTGGGTACATAGCAAGAACCTGTCCAAGGAAGGAAGGAAGGAAAGAAAGAAGGGAGGGAGGGAGGGGAAAAAAAGAAAAAAGATTTGATGATTTTCAAGTAACTGACTTCAAAAAAGAGAGATGTACAAGTTACCTAAAAAGATTTCAAAATAATTATTTTAAGGAAGCTCATCAAGATAAAGGAGACACAGAACATGCAGTGAACTCAGAAAAATAATACACAAAATGTCAAGTTGAGCAAAAAGATAGAAATATTATTTAAAATATCCAAACAGAAATTCTTTAACTAAAAAATATTGGAAATGAATGAAGTAAAGAAAAAGTAATAGAGAGCTTCAGCAGCAAATTTAATCAAACAGATAAAAGAATCTTTAACCTCAAAGATAAATCTTTTAAAATTATCCAGTCAGAGGAACAACAACAACAAAAGAATGAAAAACAACAGAAATCCTGTAAGACTTGTGGGATACCATTAAGAGAACCAATTTGCACAATATAAAAGTCTCAGAAGGAGAAGATAAAAAGGGAAATAAAGCTTATTTTTTAAAAATACATAACAATTTCCAAATCTTGGGAGATATATGGATATTCAGACCTATGAAGCTCAAAGTGCCTGAGAAAATTCAAGACAAAGAGGATTCACTGAAAAGCATTATAATCAAAATTTTAAAAGTCAAATAAAAGAGAAAATTTTGGAAGAATCAGGGAAAAAAAATGACTTATTGCATACAAAAGGACATCTATAGGTTTATCAGCATAAGCGTTGCAGGACCAGAAAGCGTGAGAGGACATGCTCCAAATGTGGGAAAAAAATAAATGTCCACCAAGAGTATTTCATCCAACCATGTTGTTAAATCAGATGACAGAGAGATAAATATTTTACTTGACAAGTAAACGGTGACGTAGTTCATCACCACTAGATCTGTGTTTTAAAAAATCCCAAGGAAAATTTTTCAAGCTAAATAAAAAAGATTAATAAACAAATAAGCTAAATAAATATCATGAAAGCATATGAAAGTACTATATTCACTGGTAAGAGTGAATATATAATCAAATTAAGAACATTTTAATTGCAGTGATCCTTTGTAATAGGCACTTATAATTTTAGTATAAAGGTTAAAAGACAAAGTATTAAAAATAACAATAGCTACAATATTTTTGATGGATATGAAATCTAAACAGATGTAAACTGTGATGTCAGCAACATAAACTGTAGGCAGAGGGCAAGAAAAAATGCAGTACTTTTGTATGTAATTTCAGTTAAGATGTTGTCAGTTTAAGATAGCCTGCTATATCTATATGATACTTTATGTAAGCCTTATAGTAACCACAAAGCAAAAGGCTAGAGTAGATATACAAAAGATAAAAAAAGAAATCAACTAAAGCATACTACTACAAAAACCATTAATTCAGAAAGACAGCAAAAGATGAAGAAAATAAAAAAAAGCCTACAACAACTACAAAACAGACAGAAAACATTCAAATATCCATAGTAGCTCCTACCTATTAATATGTACTTTAAATGTAAATAGATTAAATACTCCAATCCGAAGCCATAAAATGACTGAGTGGATTTTAAACTATGTGCTGCCTATAAGAGACTCACTTCAAGTTGAAGGACACATATAGACTGACAATGAAAGGATGAGAAAAGATAATCTATGTGAATGGAGGCCTAAATAAAGTAAGGGTGTCTATACTTATGTCAGACAAAATAGAAAACTTTAAATAAAATACTATAACAAGAGTCAAAGAAGGTTATTATATCATAATAAAGGGATTAATTAATCAAGAGGATATACAATTAAATATATATATGTAGATAACATCAGAACACCTAAATACGTTCAGCAAATATTAACAAATCTGAAAGGAAAAAGAGACAGCAACACAATAATAGTAGAGCACTTCAACACTATATTTTAAACAATGGACAGATCATTCAGATAGAAAATCAATAAAGAACCATTGGACTTGAACTACATTTCAAGCCAGATGGACCTAGCAAATATATACAGAACATTCCATTCAATGGCAACAGAAAAAAACAAAACATAAAAAACCCCAACATTTTTCATGATAGATGTATGTCAGGCCATAAAACATGTCTTAAGAAATATAAGAAGACTGAAATCATGTCAAGTATGATCACAGTGGTATGAATGGAGAAATTAATAACAAGAGAAAAATTAGAAAATTCACAAATATGCAGAAATTGAACAATGCACTCCTTATAATCGGATGAGTTAATGAATAAATAGAAAAAGAAAAATTGTGCTGAGACAAATGAAAATGTAAAAAAAACCCCTCAAAACCTATGGAACACAGCAAAAACAGTTTTAAGAAAAAAATAAAAAAAAAAACTGGACATCACATCAAAAAACAATTTTCAAAGAGAAGGAAGTTTATAGCAATATACGCCTACATTAACAATAGCAAAAAAGAGATATCGCAACATACCTCAAAAAAGCTAGAAAAAGAAGAACATACTAAGCCCCAAATTAGCAGATTGAAGGAAATAATAAAGATTAGAGTATAAATAAATAAACTTCATACTAGAATGACAATAGAAGAATCCATTAAAACAGAGTGCCCTTTTTGAAAAAGTAAACAAAACTGACAAAATTTTAGCTAGCCTCACCAAAAATAGAGTAAAAGACTCAAAGAAATAGAATTATAAATGAAAGAGAACACATTACAGCTGATGTCATAGAAACATAAAGAATTATGTGAAACTATGTGCAATTACATGCCAACAAATTGCACAGATGTGCAATTACATGCCAGTCCAGAAGAAATGAATAAATTAACAGAAACATGAAACCTACCAAGTATCCTCGACTAGCATGTCAACCAAAGAAGGTTTGGCCAAGTCACTGAGGAACTTGTAAGTCAGAACTTTCTGGCCACCAGAATTTCTGGAACAAGTCAGCCTTAGTATTGCCTGTTGAGGTGTAGCCTCTTAGTAAATGTAGATGAACATTCTTGAGTGCACATCTAAGACCCTTGGTCAGGTCCAGTTAGTCCCTAGAGTTGAAGGTTGGTGATAGGATAATATATTCTCATGGCTCCTACATAGTTTAATTGTATCTAAGTTTTTATTATCTTTGTATTGTTTTTTATATATTAACCATATTAATCATGATGAAAACAAACATAGAAAGTGGCAAACACACTAAATGCTGAGTAATATTTTTTGATTGTTGAATAGTTAGGAGTTTGGTGGGTTTGTTATATGATATATTTGAATATTTTATAGGGGAAGGGACTATTTAAGATGATAATTTCTAGTAATTAAGCTTTACATTTATGTATTAGAACCATTCTTTCCATAAATGAGTAGGTGACAAGAGATTTACTTTGCAAGAGCTTTGTTTTTTAAATTTTAAAGAATTTTTGGTAGTTATAGGGAAATTAGGGATTATCTGTAACTAAATGTTATTTTTAACAAGGGAAATAACTAAGGTTTAAAGTAGTTAGATAATTTTTTCAAAATCACAACAGAAGGTAGTTTTCCATGCCTAGCTTTCAAGTGTAGAGGTGCATCTACTTTCCATAC